TTTTAAGGGGGACGAGTAATAGAGAGAGGGATGGAATATAGGTATGATGTTGGGGTGTTGTGGGGGGAGGTGAGGAATTGGGTATGAGGGTGAATGAAATTATTTGAATAGTTGTATGAAAGAAATATAAAGGGGATAAGTAATTGTATGAGGGGGGGGGACATTATGGGAAGATGGGGGTAAGAGGGTTGGGCCTAGCTGTGTGGACGTGGGGGGGTTGCTTTAGCTGCTGCACTGAAATATGGAGTGGTGTTGTTGTGTAAAACTAAAAACAAGACTGAAAGGAAAATGAAAGATTATTACAGACTGTAAGAGAGATTGGGGCATTTCCAATGAAAATATACAAGAACATAATTACAACTCTACAGACAAGAGCATTGTGTGGTCAGCTCGACCTCGGCAAAGGTCCTGGTCACTTGAAATGAAGAGCCAATTCAAAACAAAATTGAAAAAACATGTACTTCATGTACAAACAGGACATTTGGAGAGTTGTGGTTGCTTGAGAAATGCCAAACATAAAACAAATATAATTTAGAAGGCTCATAGAATGGATGGATAATGGTAAACCGCTCGCTTGATGAAGCAGTAGTGAAGTGCTCATGGTCGAAGTTTTGTCACACTCTATACATTTGTTGTCTTTATATCTATGGTCTATATTATTATCTACTCTTATTTCTCTGGCATCGTTTTATCTGAATAAGAATCATGTTTTTCAGTGGCTTTACAGTGTTCAGTGAATATTAAATTGTAGGCAAATGTTAATATCAAACACATCTTTATTTGCAGAGTATGCATCCATCCATGTTCTTCCCCTTAATCCATTTCTGGGTCGGAGGGTGGCAGTCAGAGCTGCCCCCAGTACACAGAGCACCAGCCCCTCACTGATCCTCCTGCAGGTGGTGAGTCCCCAGGAGCTGAGATCTTTCAGTGGGGGCTCCAGGCAAAGTGGGGTTAAGTGTCTTGCCCAAGGACACAACGACAACAGACATCAGTGGGAGTCATTTGCAGAGTAAACATTTTTTTTATTCTGGCAATGTTTTTAGATGGTTTCTAAGAATGAGATTTCCTTTTATTTGTATTTAACTAGCTTTGACTGTCTTAATATCAAGTTATCAGGATTTTTTTTTTATATGGCAAATATCCGTTATGAGTTTGTGTAGTAAAACATGGCAATCCAAACATATGTGTATTACTTTAACTGTAACACTGGGTAACAAAAAAATATTTTTTGAAAATAGTCCAGGGTTTTCCAGCTGAATAACTAATTTTGATGCACTGAGTCCGAAAATAACCTGTTTTGCTCAATCCAGTCAGAGATTTTTTGCTAACAAACTATTTTTTTTAATCAGAAAGTTGCGTAAAACAAATTTCTGCGAACATCAGCAGCTGAGAAACCCTTGACGTCTTTTCCGTTTTCCTCAAGAAATAAAAGTCAACATATCCAAAGTCATTCAGTTTTTATTTACTCCATCAAAAAGCAGAATCCATAATAACGTAGAGGACGTACGTAATCCCGAAACACCTATGGATTATCTCAAAAAGTTGACCTAGATAGAGCAAAATCATGTGAAATTCGGCACTCAGAACACCAACATTAGTCTAAATCAGTTTAGAAACCCTTGACCATTTTTTGGCTGTCAACTTGTGTAATTGGTCATGGCTTTTTGTATGAAACATATAACAATAAATATATAAAGAACTGAGAAGGTTGTTGTTAAAAATCCATAGTAACAATAAAAAATGCAGACTGTCATAATCTGTAACTGTAAAATAATCTGTTTTGCATTACCAAGGTCATGTCTGTCGTACATTTATTTTTGTCGTTACTTTGTGTGTCAACAACAGCAGAGAACTTGGGCTCTGGCTGTGACCTCATGCACGGGTCAGGGATTATCTACACGATTAGCACCTAAAACACCTCCCCACCTAATCCCCTCTCCATATTCTGACACGCTTTTCAATCTACGGCCTCTTCCATCTCCCTGGATTCTGAATTAGGGTCATTGACTATAAAAATCTTGGTGTGTAGAATTTTTATAATTATTGTTTTACAGCAACAAAGACAATGTTTGTGGAGAGAAATGGGCAAATATATTGTCAATTCCAGTAGGTAGAGCAGATTTCATGCAAATGACTGAGGTTTTATCCACAGCTACATAAATACAAATATGGTTTAATCTATGAAAATAATAGTATCTGTGGATATTTGAGCAGTTCGGCCCAAAAACAGTTGCTAGGTAACATCCTGAGAGTGACGTTTTCATCCACAACCAAGAAGAGAAATTACATATTTAAATAAAAACTGGTATTAAACATTCCAATTGTTTTAGAAAGACTTGTTAACTGCATTTTAGTGTGTGTGTGTGTGTGTGTGTAATTGGTTGAAACATAAAACTATAATAATGAAACTATATAGTACAGCCATTCCCAAACTCAGTAACACCGAGGCCCCCTTAAAAATCTGACGGGTCTGCGTGGCCCCCCAAAATAATAACCAAGAAGACAACATTAAGAATAGGCTCTTCTGGTTATTTTATTTTGGGGAAATAGCCTCTGCTACAAACATTGTAATACAAAAATGATTACAGTGGATTATTCAAGTCAAATAATGAACACAAATATTTTAATATTACAAACATTATAAATTTAACATTAAATAATTATATTTTTCTTTAATTTTTTTTATGACCTCCCGCGGCCCCCCTGCAGTACCCTCGCGGCCCACCAGGGGGCCGCGGACCCCACTTTGGGAGACACTGATATAGTATATACAGTTATATACCTTATGTGTAACGAGCTATAGCAATAATAGAATATACATACATGTTTTAATTCAGTAAAAAAACTCTCTTCATCCCTCTCTTATATGGTAATGGTGAAGGTGCACTTTATTAATCCCCGTAGGGTAATTCATCCTCTGCATTTGACCCATCCTGATGCCGCTAAGGCTTATGTCAGAAGCAGTGGTCGCCGTAGTAACAGCGTCCGGGAACCCATCTCCAGGTGTTGATGCTCGGCTTGGTCAGGACTACAGGAGCTGGAGGATTTAACCTAGTGTGCATGTTTTTAGTGCTAGGGGAAACCGGAGTACCCAGAGGAAACTTACGCAAGCACGGGGAGAACATGCAAACTCCACTCAGAAAGACCCGTTCCGACCGGGATTCGAACCCGAGTATGTATATTTATCATAGTATATTTCTTACACTGTTGGACTTCTGGTGAGAGAGCAAAGCCACTCAAGATCCTCATTACGGACCAATAATAATACAAATATGTGTTTATGTTCCTTGATTCACTTTTTATAAAATATATACAAAAAATAACACTACCTTGCGCCATGTTAGCACCGTCATTTACTGGCACCCTGTGGGATTAAACCACCAGAAAAAACAAAACAGAGTGAGAGCGTGGCTGGTTTGCTAACACAAGACCGCAGTAGCAATGAAACTTGACAGCAAAAATCATTATAATGTGTCTGGACATGATGTGCGGACAAAACAATTAGAGCAGTACCTTTGTGGTGTACTTAGGATTACCAAAACAAGTGTCCCTGGAGCCAAATACAACTCTGGAGAAAAACATGATTAAAGCTCAATGTTGCATAATGTGTAACTCTTAACCAAAGCAAATTCATTCAAATTGCGGTGAATTTCCTTCGTAATTTAATTTTGCCTTAATTCAAAGCTGGAAGTACCCCAACTTTAACTTTATTCAAGCCACAAATAATATAACTATGTATTGAAATCCATTGAACTAGTTCCTGGCTCTAAAACAGTTTGGTGTTGTATTAGTTTTCACACTAATGTTTGTTTGGTGAGACACATCTCTAGATCAGATTCAAGTTTCAAGAATTGATTTGCCGTTTGCAGTAAAACCACATTGGAAAAACAGTGCAAGACTACTGTATACCCCAGTGTGCACCAGACAGAGAAGACAGAAGTTATTAAAGATTCTTAGCGGGTGGGGGTGTACCCGGAAAGAGAATTACCCAATGCTTTTGTATGCCGTCTTCTTTCCTCTCAAAAACTTCTTTACAGGACGTTCTTAAAGTCGCTCTTGGCCCAGCGCTTCGTTCCAGATGCTGTCAATTCTGAGGCGAGTACATTGTTTTGGGACCAGTCTAGCTTAGCCGCTGTAGACTTTTGAATGCACTCGTAATGAATGGGGCTCATGCCCGGCTAACGCATGCGCTAATGCATTTTTTCCTGCTGAAGGGACTGCCCGCGGCCATTTTGAAAAAGCAAAAGTGGTGGAACATTGGTTTAAGCGGCGGAGAAAGGCGTGTCTACATTTGTTAATATTTACAGTCTATGTTCTCAGCCCAAAACATCAATTAGTGCCTCACAGAGCTCATTCTTATAAGTCTGCAAAAGATAACACATTTTCTAATAAGCTGAGGGCAGAATGTTATGGTCTGATTCTCTCTGTTGGGACAAACAACATGTATTGCGCCACCACTTTTGTCCAAGACTCCCTTGAAAAAGAGGTTCTTAATCTCAATGAGACTTTCCTGGTTAATGAAAAAACTAAAAAATAGGGAAAAAAGTTAGGATTCCCACAACTGTCGATGTTGCAGCGCACATACAGGGCAGTAAAGAACACAACATATACACAAATAAGTAGTTGTCGATGCTTCTGTTATTTTAGTTTCTCTGGAGTTTACACTACAGTTTCTCGGTAGCTGTATTATAAAAGACTGCCTGCAAAGTAGAAAACCAAGCTCCTCAGAATGCCCCGCTTCAGCTTAAGCCTACTCAGTCTTTTACCGTCAGCCTTGAATCACAGCAGGCTTCAAATGAAAACATATCAGTCTGGACACATGTGCTTTTTCCACTGCAGAAACAGGCGGATCCCACACTTTCTCATGAAATACAGTAGATTTACAGCCATGTGGAACACCCAGCATGCTTCCCGTCCGTCCCCCTGGGCAGTCACTGGCCTTTTCTCCCCCTCCTCCTCTCCCAGAGCCCCCGCCCTCCCCCTCACCCTCATCCCCACCCTCACCTCCTCCTCTGTCTCGCCGTCGTCACTGCGGCGGACATGGCTTCTCTCTCCGCAGAGCTGTCACATGGGATCTGGTCAACGGCTGCTTCGCACTCCCCTGCCCGCGGTCGCACCAGGCTGTCGGACAACTCCACTAGCAACGGCGCAGACGGGGGAGACAATAGAAACACAAAAGACATTAAATATCTATAGAGAGTGAATAAAAAAGGCAATGTGATCTTTACTGACATACAGTACCATCTAATAGAAAGGTATAGACTTTTACATCCCCTGGAAGAGATTATCAAATGTTTAGTAGTGAAATGCAACCATCAGACTCACACATGAACTTTTATAACGTTACTTTTCATGAGAGTAACTGTGTATATGCATTTTTCCCCTTTTTATCAGTTTTTGCCCATATACAAACTGAAGTTTGGTCTGTATTTTAATCCTCTGTTGAAAAATAACTTCAAAATGAGTCACATTACATATCATTAACTTTTTTTTTCAACCCAATTCATTTTAACCATCCTGAATTAGCTCAAATTCATCTGTAAATGCAATCCTGCATTTCAGCTTATTTCTTTGTTTCCATCATGCCCAAAATCAAAACAGCAGTTGAAGGGTGACCCATATTGTCATTCCTCCAACTGCAGATAAAAAAAACAAAACAACATGAACAGAAATACAACCTAGACTAATACCCTAGACCAACGCGATGCCCATTAATGTCCAAATTTAAACTATATGTCCCACGTCATCTCTATTTTTCACTAATCTACATCAATACCTCGAGCATTTCCACCTTAAACACTTACATACCGGTCCAAAAAACAAAAAATGAAAGTAAATTTTCAGGAAGCACATCAAACCACTTTTCCACTTTTTTTTGCACAGCTCTGACATTTTAACTCCTGACTCTGGGTCGGGCCTCACCCAGCAGCACCCCGATAGTTACCTGAATGCTTCTGAAGGCGTCATTCCTGCGGAGCGGAGAGGGCTCTAAATCTGTCGGGAGCGTGTTTTCTCTCAGCCAGAGCGACTCCAGGTGGGACCGGCCTGATAAACCCACAGATGGAGTAGTGTACGAGGCAGCACTCCCCACAGACACACCCGCACTGTCCGGAAACCACCAGCCACTGTGCGCTCCCAGACAGACAAGAAGCTGGTTATATGCACTCATCAGAATTAGACTCGGAAAAATTACTGGTTCATTTTTGTGTGTGAGTGGTAATAATAATAATAATCTTAATTTGTATAGCACTTTTAAAAACAATGTTTACAAAGCGCTGCACAGTCAGTATGATGAACAATAAAACAGTCATAATGCAACGTCAAAATAATTAGATACAGTAGATCAGGAGTGTCCAAACTTTTTAGTAAGAGGGCCACTTTGATTCACCAAAAATACCCAGGGGCCGACAACATGGGTTAACTGGGTCAAGAATGTCAAGAGCTGGGTGTAAAATGGTTATTGGTTCATCTTTGACAGAGCTGAAGTTGGCTGAATGACAAAGGTTTAATCACCAGATACATCAGCGATGTATAATGTATAATATATCACAATACAGAATAAATATTAGTTTAGTCCAAAAGTCAAAAAAAGAAAAGAAAGAGTATGTTGGGTTAGCAAGGCAGAGGGCCGTATAAAATGACACAGAGGGCCACAATTGGCCCCCGGGCCAGAGTTTGGACATGCCTGCAATAAATACAGGAAGACTAAGCAGACAGAGCAAAACACAAGAAGAGAGACACAACAAAGACAAAGCAGATGGTAAAATACAGCATGTGAAGTTTAAAACTAGTTAAAAGCTGTTTGATAAAAGTGGGTTTTAGGGAGTGATTTAAAAGAGGAGACTGATGGAGCCTTATCTCCTCGGGCAGTGGTTCCAAAGCCGAGGAGCACGGACAGAGAAGGCTCGGCCACCTTTCGTCCGGAGCCTCGGCCTGGGAACAGTCAACGGGGACCCGCTCCGAGGATCTAAGGCTGCGGGGGGGCTCGTAGGGGGATAAAAGTTCATAAATATATCTGGGTGCCAGACCTAAACGAGCTTTAAAAGTAATCAGTAAAATCTTAAAATCAATTCTAAAACGCACAGGGAGCCAGTGGAGGGACGCTAAGACAGGGGTGATGTGCTCCCTTCTGTTAACACCAGTGAGAAGTCTGGGTCCGTGGGGAATAACTACAGTATATCGTGACTAATGTTGTGCAAAAACAAACAAATACAAATACCCTCACTTTTTTGCATAATAAATAATAAAACAACAGATATAATATGTTGTGAACCAATCATACTGTATTTATCTTATTATAATACATTTGCACTCATTAGAAAGAGCCCAGTGAGTTAAGATTAGATGCTTTGGGCTGAGAACTGATGGATCTCCAGCCCAAAGCAGACCAATAAAAGAGCACGTTTTCTCTTTTTTGGGTCTGAAAAGGCTAATCTAAAGGTGTGACAGAGGCCAAAAACATTGCTCGTAAAAAACCGTGATAGGACCCCACTGTTTGGGAGGCTAAGAACTATTGGATGGATTTTATTCCATAGTCCATTTTCTGTGGTTTGAAAATGAGGTATTCCAGCTTGAAGTTGTTAGCCACTTTGGTTCTTTTGTGCTGAAAATATTTTAATTTTGTGTAAAGTTATCCGTCTGCCTTTTAATATTTCACACATTTTCACACATCTATCAAAATCAAAATGGAAACTGAAAAGACTTTTAACAGTGTGAAATTAAGGAGGAGGCTTTGTAGACCACAATAATGGAGAATTCAGGATGGAACTGGGAGGAGAGAAAATAAATATGTTTGGTGGTTGCTCTGGGACACTTAATAGGATTATGAGCTTGTTGTGAGAAGATTTGAACCTTTTTAAACAGCTGACGTGACCTTTTGTTTTCTCAGGGGTTAATCAATATTAGTGTGTTCTTGTTTATGCTACAGGCAGTTTACCTTCACTGATGAGAACTTTAAAATGGCCTTATTCACTCGTCCTTCAGTTCAAATCATACTAATGATAGCTGAGAATTATAAGTCTTGTATTAGACTTTTGAACTGATTTGCATAATTGAGTCTGGTTGGCTCCGTCCTTTAGGAATAATCTGTTCCAGGTTAGAATAGGTTAAGTAGATACTAATGGAGAGGCTCTCATTGTAGCCCCGCCTCCTGCTGATTCATGTCTCTGTGTGGACGTCTGTGGTCGGCAGAGACCGACATCACTGTCTTTCTGTCTGTGCTCTCAAGAGACATTAGACCATATTAAAGCTATTCACACTGGAAATGTTAAATTGTTTTTGGACAGATATGTTATAACATTAAGAGGTCTTACTAATGTCTGTTGCAAACTGCCACACTTCCTGACAAAGGTGATATACGTTGTAAAGTACAACATTGCACTATTTATGATCAAGATTAGAACCACTAAACTGGTGGTAAGACTTTTTTACAGACAGTTATTTACCGAAGATATGCGGCTTCAGATTCCGCTGTATGCTCACAATTTATGTGGTTCTAGTACCGTCTTGCAGGAGTCAAGATGACCTCCTCGAGCTTTAAACATTATAAATCAGCAGATAACCTTGATCAAGTGTAATAGCTTCTATTCCTGGAAGTAAAGAACATCTGAAAAAACAAGCTCTACCTCCGCTAGTTCACCAAGAAAGGACCACATAAAACAGCCTAATGCTGCCCGGACAAAAGTGATGATTAAGAATGAAATGTTCTATGTCTTTGCTCATTCAAACCCGAGATGACCAGTCTCACTACATTAATCATCTTGTAAAAAAAACAACTAAGGACTTAACTGGCACTTTCACTCTTTGATGCTTGTCATTTTTTAACAGGCATGACCACTTTTACTTCAAACTTAATTTTCTGAAGCTGCCGCTGTTCAGCCATTATCTTAATGTTCAGCCTGTCATTAGATAATGGAAAAACCCATTAGTCCAAAATCATAATTTAACCTGGACTGAAAAAACAGTATTCTGTGTTATTCTGAGAAGTGAAATGTTACTGTTCAAACGAGGACATCGGTGCAAGTTCTGTTTCAAACATGCAGATCTTAAAAGCATTCTTCATTTGACAGAGCCTCTCCAGTCAGAGGAAGTTGGGTAACTGTTATGTCACATGAACTAAATGTGTTAAAACCAAAACAGAAGTCTCATTTAAGTGGTCAACTGAAAGGCTTTTCTTTTCCTAATTATGTATTTAGTGTGGCTGTGTGGGCACAATGTCAACACTGTTCTCTTCAAAAGTCTTCATAAGTGTTGGGGACTGAGCTCAGAGCATCAACATCTGACAAGGCTGATGGTGTTCCTGTCATGCAGAACTTCAAAAAGTCAGCAGAGCTACATCTATGTCACGGGTGGCAAAGTGAATTCTCTTGGCCCCTGGATGACATTTGATTAGTATTAGAACAGGCCGCACAGAGCCATTAAATAACATTTAGTCAACGCTCATGTGTTGTCTCTTTGAAGGAAGTTTGTTTTTGTCTGTGAGGCTGTTGGAAAATGTTTACACTTAAAATTACAGACAGAGCCATGTAAAAAATATTGTATTAAACATTTAATCATTAAATAAAATATGGTCCACTATGTTAGGTCTTGATTGAATAGGTTATACGCAATCATTTGAATTTGTTTTAATAAAAATTGAACCAGTCCGGCCCTCGGCTTGAAGCAAATTCGTTTTTGTGCCCTCTGAATGTATTTGACTTTGACATCGCCAATCTACGTCAACACGTCAGACAGAGAATGCTCGTATTACTGATACAATGTCAAACTCATCATACTGCGCTGAGATTCTCAAAAATGATTTACTCCTGGATCAGTATAGGCTATTATCATGATTATTCCCCATGGTTTCCCAATAGTGAGGGCTAATCTAGCTCATCTGGAACTGCTTCATTAGTGGGTGTGTGAGGGGAGAGCGTGGGGAGCTGTCAGGCTTCTCCAGAGCCACCGTTCTGAAGTGGATCAAAGGGGAATCCTGGGACTCCTTCTGACCTCCATCTGCGACGTTCTGTTGGACAGCTTCCAAACACTCCAAACCTTTCATGTCCCCTCTGAAAAACAGAAAATAATGTATAGATCCTTTTTTCTCATTCTTCATTTGCCCTATGTTGTATTTGGAGTTGGAAAGGGGATAAAAAAGGGCCTTGTAATGTTTTCTGTTCAGTGAAATTATTGTTATTATTAGTATCTTGTTGTTATTTCAATTTACCGGATCAGAGCACTGCAAAACAATGAATCACAATTGGAACAGCAATAATGAAATAGCGAGGCAACTTTGCATAAAATCTGTATTAGTCAAAAATAAATCAAATAATACAAAGTAACCCTATCAGTAAAATACTCTTCAAGTCCTATTAGATCCTGCCTGCTTGATGTTAATCTCACATCCAAACCTATGGTCATGCATTATTCATGTTTAGTGAGGGTGACCTACTTTGGCACGTACAAGCTACAAGTCAAAGCTGCTGTTCTTTTTACATTGATTCAGCTCAGATTCTAATATCCAAAGTCCTGCGCCATATTGATTCCCCAGAAATCCGTCCAGGAAGGCGTTTATAATCATGTGTGCATGTCTGCTGGTAGAGAGAGAGCTGGGGGACGAGGGAGGGCCGGACTCACGTGTGGATAGTGCACTAAGCTGCTGCTATATGGACTTAAGCTGGGGGACATCAGACTGTCCTCACACAACCTCGCCCCGTTAATGTATGGCTGGATGGAGATGAGAACAGAAGGCCTCATGGTTCAGTGGATGAAGAGCCGATTCTATGGCAAAGCAGTCCAGGCAGCTGCAGAAAATATGATTCGAATGTATTATCAGACAAATGTTTATCAAATATTAAGGCTCATGTCATATCAAAACGATTTAACAATGTTTTAATGCTTGTAGAAGTGTGTGTGAAATGTTGTTATTTAAAGGTTGTTAAATGTTATTTAAAAAAATAAAAAAATAACAATGAAAGATGAGAAGTCCGTTTAGTAAATATAGTAACTGTATAACCTATATAACTATACAGGCCTATGGTGAAGCCTGAAACTAGTGCTCTATCGCCTCCCTGTGGTGACAGGAAATATTACAACACTATCCACGTGTGCGTTAGAAAAAAACGCTATTTGTAAAACAAAACAGACAGTGGATGCAGTGTTTTGCCAGTGTTGGACCTGCGCAGCTTTCTGTTCATTCTCTGTCGGGGTCGATTCACGGAGTTACCAAACGACAACAATGTACTCAGACAGGGTTAGCCATAGCATGTAGCCTGGTTGTATTAAGTCGTAATAGAATGCTCTTTTAGGCAACAATAATTAGACCAGAGCTGCAGAGTTGAAACAAATTTGACAATTTGAAATAAGCTTACGATACCTTTGCCTAGGTTTCTGAACAGACAAAGTGCCCGTTTCGGAGCATCTGGTCCCATGGTGTAATGGTTAGCACTCTGGACTTTGAATCCAGCGATCCGAGTTCAAATCTCGGTGGGACCTCGTCCTTTTGAGAATCTTACGGCACTAGAGCATTACCTCTGAATCAGTCTCGTTTAGCTATAACATTTCACCATGGATCTATAATAATAGATCAGTGGCATTACCCATGGATCCATAATAAAGACAATACCTGACATGCTCAACGATTCAGTCATAGTTTATTCACACTGTTATGGAATGTTTCCACAGAATGATCACTTTAGGACACAGTGAATATCATTTGAGCTCAAATAGCAGTAATATGCTTCACATTGTATCATGTCACACTGACAAATTGACTGTGAATGTGAAATGGTTTGTCCAAACTCCAGAAACAGGTCAGTAAAATTTGCATATCTTTGAAAAACCTGGCCTTGTTTTTGATTTTATGAATACAATTTTCCGCAGTAAGAATTGCTCGAGGAGATTTTTTTTAGACCAATAGAGAGAGCTAGCTTGTCAATCCATTATTTGAATAAATTTAGTCAGGAAGCTGATCGGGGAGTTTGTCATTGCTACAATGAAAAAAAAATATTTCTCCTCAATTTGAAAAGTAACTGACATTCACATTAAAAGCAGTAACAATGAAAATCACATTCAGAAGTCACAATGGGGACTGCATCATTGAAGCTACTTATTATTTACAAAAACACAGCACATATAGAAAGCATCAATTTCCATCAGCTCATGTAGAACCATCTGTGTCTGAAATCATCGGGGTCAAATCCATCCCAAAATACACAAAACATATACATGTAAAATACTGCTTTAGGTTCAGCTCACTGTTTCATGCATCATATTAGGGCAGTTTTTCACTCAAAATATCCCTCCATCCATATTTCCACTTCATCCGTTCAGACTTGCCTATTCACACACACCCAGTGGGACGCGGCCATTTTGTTTTGAACTGTAAATCATTATGGCAACAGGTTTCATGTCTCATCTTTGTGGAATATTTGGATCAAAATGTAGGTGATGAGAAGTAATTTCATCAAAGTCTGTTTTCAAATATTTGCAATGTATTAAAAGTCACGGTTATATAAGTGTGTGTGCTCTTCTGTACTTGGTTTCATTTGTATTTTGTCTGATTGTCTCCTAATAAAATCATTATCAAACCTATGGAAGTAAAATGTCCATACAAATCTGCTTGTAGCACTCAAACAGATACTACATTTATGCTGTACAGTAGGTGCATTACACAACTTTCCTGGACACACTTTTTGCTTGGCTTCATCTAATTATTTTGCCTGGAATGTTCCAAAGTACAGCAACCAACGCATCCATCCACACCAGAGACAAGCAAGTGACTTCACAAGGCCATTTTACATCGTCATATCTGCAGAGAGGAGAACTAATCCAATGTAAAAACCTAATTAACAAGTTTCATATTTTTCTGAGTTACATTCAAAGCTAAGAAAAACATCTCCATGACAAAAAAATCACAAACAGAGACAGTCTTTTCGAACATGTAACAATGCAAATTAGGCCCAATCCCAATACTCGCACTTCCACCCTCGCGCCCCTCAGTTGCGCGTTCCCGATTATGGGTGCGAGTGCGTAGGGTGTTCCAATCCTCCAGGGAGGTCTTTGGCCCCGCCCCCTTTGCGCCCCTGATCCACACTTTGCCGTCATGGATCTATAATAATAACTAAGCCGACTCTGGCGAAGGATATTGCCCATAATTCTTTGCGGTACACACCAAAACGTAGGGAAAATGCATTTAAGTGTAAGTTTTGAAATATATATGCTGTATGTTTAAATAAATGTTGCTGTTACTTGGATAGAAGCATAAATGACTAATTGAAGAATTACGGACATTCTATGCTAACGATTTTATAACTTTTTTAATCCAAGCCTTCATACAACATTCAACTTTACACTTAGTACAATGAACTTATGATGTATAAAAACTAACCAGATAACAGTTAGTTACCCACATTTAACTTAAAATTATACAGCTATCTCAAATTATGAATAACCAATATACTGTACATGTGTTTTAACGTGTGTGGAGCAACTCATTTTGTTTCCCACAGGGTGAGACAAAATTAAAGTTTAGGTCTGAAAATGACCATCTCTCACACTGTCCCAATTCCGCCTTGTAACCTGCGCACCCAAACCCTTGCGTGCACTTCAAACAAATGCACACTTCGTAGAGGAGTGTAGGGGGCAGTGTGGGTGTTGGGATTGGGCCTTAATATGCAGGGCCTAAATATGAATATGGCATAACTTTGGTACACTCCCCCATGTGTTTTTGTCGTGTTTATGGTCATATGGTGGTGGTCTGCAGCTTGTTGCAGACGTCTCCGTTGCTGTGGGTCGGGCTGCCCTTGTTCTCGTGCTCGATGGTAGATCTGCGGTGCACCAGAGACAGCGGGGGGAAGTGATCGGGGTGTTCCAGGCTGAGGGTGCCTCGGCTTGACTCAGTGATAGACGAGTTGGTGTGGTAATTGTTGGTCATGGGTGTGACTCCCCAGCCTGTTTTACCCCACGCACTCCTCCACTGGGCCCACTTCCTCCGAACAGCTGTCTGGGCCTGCAATTTTTTTGAAATCAGAATAATGGTAATATTACTATACATAGATAGACTGTAGAAGGAAGAAGAAATGAGTGCTGGTGTCACCCATAGTGTTTGCCTTAATGCGAAAGATGCCAATTAAAGATGTGCTGACGTCCGAGGGCCAGATCCTAAGACCAGACTTAAAACCCGGGGGGACAGGGCCTTCTCTGGGGCTGGACCAAAAGCTCTGGAACTCTCTGCCCCCCCACGTCAAAACAGCTCCCTCGTTGGAATGTTTTAAGTCTCGTCTTAAGACCCACTTTGTTTTATTTTTTTATTTTTATATGTGTGTATTTATTCGTTTATATTATTTTGATTGGATTGGATTGAATTAGAAATACTACCTAGCAACCAAAGAGCCAATCAGGAGCGGCGTTGGTGTTGCTGCTCATACTGTTTGGTAGCTAACGCCGAATTCAGGGATAGAATTTTGGGACAGAACAACTTGATTGGTCGGTTAGTTGCTAGGGCTCATTTCTGGACTTACAAAGACATGGTCCGAATATACACACAAGCATCACAGAGATTGTTTATAGTTCAAAGTGAGTCAATAGGAGACAAAATGAGTCCCTCTTGGGCTTCAATGAGCTTGCAGGTTACTTTTTAAAATGTGTTTTTACTAACCTGTACTTATAATTTGAACTGTGTATTATTACGCAAGTTATGAGTTGTATTGTCAAGGACTACTATGACCACTATTTTTTTTATGCAACTGCACATTGACCTTAAATATTTCCAACTTCAAACTTCAAACTATTGCAGCCGTCCTTCCTCTGGTCTATACGGTCTATGGCACTTAAAACAAACTAAAGTTGACTGGGTTTCCTACCTCTCCGTTGCAGAAACAAAAGATAACAGCAACTAGAAGTCCCTGCAGAGAAGAAAAATAAACATACAGTGAATTCAATAATGCCACAGCCTGAATCACATGCGCTACACACAGGGAGTCAAACTTTCAAATTTTTGAAGCCAATATGGACTAGTCTTCCTGAAAAGGTGCCACGAGCTTCTACTCTGACAATGTTTGAATCCAGACAGTGCTGGAAACCAAAGAGGATTACTTACATATAAACTTGGCTATCTTATTTTTTGTTTTACTTGAGTCAGAAATATGGCCTATTCCAGTGTCTCCCAAAGTGGGGTATTGCAGGTGGGCCGCAAGGGGTCATAAAAAAAAAAAAAAATAACAGTTTTTTAAAAATATTTATTTTATGATAAATGAATAATATTTTGTTTGTAATATTAAAATACTTGTGTTTATTATTTGACTTGAATAATCAAATTGTAGTCATTTTTTTTATTACAAAATGGGGTGCGTCATTTACATGTTTGTAGCAGAGGCTATTTCACCCAAATAAAATAACGAGAAGAGCCTATTTTTAACGTTGTCTTCTTGGTTATTATTTCGGGGGGCCGCGCAGACCCGTCAGATTTTTAGGGGGGCCGCGGTGTTACCGACTTTGGGAAAGGCTGGCCTATTCAATAATAACGAACGACCTGCTAGAAACTAAAATGTTTTTCTTATCTCTTTTCTGGTTTCTTGTAAACATAAAGAATGACAGCCATCAGCACATATTAGCGGACAGCTCAGTCAAAGTAACACTATTAGGCTCAAACAGGAAGCACTTGCAGCAAACGTATTATTTTTTTCATTGCCGTTTGACTGATCATAACTTCTTGTGACAGCTCCCAGCGGTGCAAAAATGGACAGAGGAAACATAACTGCTTACAGGTCACGCACGTCTTTGGACAAAAATGCAAGCCGGTTACATGGCACCCAGACTTCTGCACCGCAAAATGAATAGTTTGTTACCTATAAAAAATTTTTTTTTTAAACATCTTGAAAAATGCCAATGTAAATGTAATTTTTGTTGCTTTGCTCTAAGTATAGAACATGGACAATCTGCCTGTTCGTTCAAAGCCAAATTCACTCTTATCTACTAATCTAAGCTAATCTCAGTCTTTTTTCAATAACTAAGTAAATTATTAGTCATTAAGTGCTCTTTATATAATTGTCAAAACATTTCCTTGTAGCTTAATACACAAACTGGGAAGTAATTGTATACAAAACATTAGGGATTGTGTGATGTATTTTTCTTCATGATGAAATGTTCTGTTCCTAAAGATTAGTCATGGGTCTAAAATATTGTGTGTTCTAACTGGTTCCTTTGTAAAACGTCAAAAAAGCGCTTTGTAAGTACGATGCATTATAATGATTCATCCATCTATCCAAGTTGCATCATTATTATTATTAAACAGCTTGTTGATTAATATGAATAAACACCATATTAATCGATATGCCACCGGCAGTAAGGGATGCTGTCAGGCTGAAGAAGGAGTCCTATCGAGCCATGATGGTTCGGGGGACTCCTGAGGCAGCTGTCCAGTACCGGCAGGCCAAGCGTGCCGCGGCCCGGGCTGTTGCAGAGGCAAAAACCCGGGTCTGGGAGGAGTTCGGAGAGTCCATGGAGCATGACTATCGGTCGGCCTCGAAGAGATTCTGGCAAACCATCCGGCGCCTCAGGAGGGGGAAGCAGTGCTTTGCCAACACCGTTTATGGTAGGGGTGGAGAGCTGCTGACCTCGACTGGGGATATTGTCGGGCGGTGGAAGGAATACTTCGAGGTTCTCCTCAACCCCCTGTCACGTCCTCCGCCCCGGAGGCAGAGGCTGAGGATGTTGGGGCGGATACTTCCATCTCCCTGGCAGAGGTCACCAAGGTGGTTGGCAGCCTCCATGGCACCGGGAGGGGATGAGATCCGCCCTGACTATCTAAAGTCTCTGGATGTTGTAGGACTGTCTTGGCTGACACGTCTCTGCAGCATCGCGTGGCGATCAGGGGCGGTGCCAATGGAGTGGCAGACCGGGGTGGTGGTCCCTCTCTACAAGAAGGGGGGCCGGAGGGTGTGTTCCAATTATCGTGGGATCACACTCCTCAGCCTCCCTGGCAAGGTTTACTCCAAGGTACTGGAGAGGAGGCTACGGCCGATGGTCGAATCTCGGATTCAGGAGGAGCAGTGTGGTTTTCGTCCCGGCCGCGGAACACTGGACCAGCTCTATACTCTCCATCGGATACTCGAGGGTTCATGGGAGTTCGCCCAACCTGTCCACATGTGCTTTGTGGATTTGGAGAAGGCGTTCGACCGTGTTCCCCGGGGTGTTCTTTGGGGGGTTCTCGGGGAGTACGGGGTCCGGGGTCCTCTGCTGAGGGCCGTTCGGTCCCTGTAGGACCGGAGCCAGAGCTGTGTTCGCATTGCCGGCAGTAAGTCAGACCTGTTCCCGGTGCATGTTGGCCTCCGCCAGGGCTGCCCTTTGTCACCGGTTCTGTTCACTGTATTCATGGACAGAATTTCTAGGCGCAGCCAGGGGCCGGAGGGGGTCCGGTTCGGGGACCACAGGATTTAATCTCTGCTGTTTGTGGACGATGTTGTCCTGTTGGCTCCAACAAACCAGGACCTACAACATGCACTGGGGCGGTTTGCAGCTGAGTGTGAAGCGGCTGGGATGAGAATCAGCACCTCCAAATCTGAGGAGGTGCTCGACCGGAAAAAGGTGCCTTGCCCTCTGCAGGTGGGTGGAGAGGTCCTTCCTCAAGTGGAGGAGTTCAAGTATCTCGGGGTCTTGTTCACGAGTGAGGGAAGGATGGAGCGTAAGATTGACAGGCGGATCGGTGCAGCGTGCGCAGTGATGCGGTCGCTGTATCGGACCGTCGTGGTGAAGAGGGAGCTGAGCCGAAAGGCAAAGCTCTCGATTTACCGGTCAATCTTCGTTCCCTCCCTCACCTATGGTCATGAGCTTTGGGTAATGACCGAAAGAACGAGATCGCGGATACAAGCGGTCGAAATGAGCTTCCTCCGCAGAGTGGCTGGGCGCTCCCTTAGAGATAGGGTGAGGAGCTCGGTCACACGGGAGGAGCTCGGAGTAGAGCCGCAGCTACTCCACGTCGAGAAGAACCAGTTGAGGTGGCTCGGGCATCTGTTCCAGATGCCTCCTGGACGCCTCCCTGGGGAGGTGTTCCGGGCACGTCCCACTGGGAGGAGGCCCCGGGGAAGACCTAGGACACGCTGGAAGGACTATGTCTCTCAGCTGGCATGGGAACGCCTTGGAGTCCCCCCGGACGAGCTGGAGGAAGTGTGTGTGGATAGGGAAGTCTGGGCGTCTCTGCTTAGACTGCTGCCCCCGCGACCCGGCAACGGATGAAGCGGAGGAAAACGGACAGACGAACCAGTCGATTAATCTGAATAATAATAACCCTCGCCCTGGGTTCAAATCCTGGTCGAAACAGGGTCTTTCTGAGTGGAGTTTGCATGTTCTCCCTGTGTGTGTGTAGGTTTCCCCTACCACTAAAAACCTGTACAAAAGGTCTGGCACCTCCAGTATGGTGACCTCGCTGCCATCTGTGAGTTAGAGACAATTTTATAATCAGCACTTTAGAGCGTGCTTCATAGTCAAATCCCTCTTGCTCCATTTATATCTCCCTTATAAACTCCTTGACTTTGTATGTAATAAACACAGAACACAAAAGGAACAAGCAGATCAGGCCAGCAGAGGAGTTGCTTAAGATATTGTCGCCTGTTTTACCTGGAAGTGACTGAAGATGTTGACAAAGAAGTCGTAGATGGCCCGGCTGATGCGTCCCTCCGGTCTCCATGGAAACAGGATGAACTGCACCCCCAGCAGCGGGATGAGGATGAGGGTGGCTCTGACCGCCTTCATGTACGCAGTGGACTCAGCGCAGTGCGTCTCCTTGAGTTTAGTGATCAGGACCCTCACGATGTTCAGGAGGAAGAATAAGTTCACCTGCAGGGAGAAAGCACACACATATAATGCATGGTTAGTTTTCATTTGGGCCATGGCTGGGCGACTGGGCAGAGGGAGCAGGTCACATGGGGCATGGGGAAAGTCTTAATTGACGGAGTAGAAGACATCTTCCTGTAGACCCACCACAGGCAGGAGGATCAGTGAGGGGCTGGGGCTATGAGCATTGGGTGGCAGCTCTGATTCCTCCCCCGACCCAGAAATGGACTAATAAAGGGGATGAAAATGAATGAATGAAAGCTGAGGTACCTAACTTTCTTGTTTCATAAATAGCACATGTTTGTCTTAATTAAAACAGTCAAATGTTGGGTGAAAATCAGACCATTCATCCATCCATTTTCTTCCCCTTAATCCATTTCTGGGTCAGGAGCAAGCCCCGGTGATCCAAGATGGCGCCATAAAGAAATGAATGGTTGTGCTCAGTGGCGCATTGTGTCAGCATGGGGGCTGAAAGATGAGCGGAAGTCACGTGGAACTCGCAAAGATCAATGGGAAACTCGCAAAGATCAATGGGAAACTCGCAAAGATCTATGGGAAACTCGCCTGTATTTGGGCATCGTCTGGTCCTCCCGGTTCTGCGCAGTGGATGATCTCCCATAATGCGTTGCGCCAATGGGCGGCCATGTGCGGCTTTTACATGGGGTCTTATGCACGTGCACAGAGGGCTGATGTGACACAGGCCAGAACAACTAGTGATGGATTGTATTATAGAGTTTGTGTTTTTGTGGTTTGAAAGTTGATCTTTTTTTGAAATATTTTATTTTGAAATTTTCAGTTTAGAACAAACAACGTGTAGGCACGGTGGCTGAGTGGATAGCACTCTCGCCTCTCAGCAAGAAGGTCCTGGGTTCGAATCCCGGTCGGACCAGGGCCTTTCTGAGTGGAGTTTGCATGTTCTCCCCGTGTCTGCGTAGGTTTCCTCCGGGTACTCCGGTTTCCCCTACCACTAAAAATATGTCCAATAGCTCAGGCATGCGCCTCCTGTACTGGCCCCGCTCCCATCTCTGTGTGGAGTGAGAGACAAATGCCCAAAATTAACAATTGTAAACCGCTTTGAGACTCAGATCTGCAGTGAAAAGGCGGTATATAAATAAAAACTTACTTACTTACTTACAACAAAGAACAGTTATACCCAAATAAAAAATAAAAAATAAAATAAACAGATGCTCTGACATCACATTAAGCTCAAGATTATTTACTTTAAGGATACCGTAAGGTCTGTTGGGCTTATGTTCATATGTTCCAGGTATGGTTGCCATATTTTGACAAACGTGTCGAATGCCTTCCTCAGGCTATAGGTAATTTTTTCCAGAGGGACACAGCTATTCAATTCTGAGTACCATCTTGTCAGAGAGAGGGGAGAATCGGACCTCCAAGTGACAGCAATGCATTTTCTTGCAACCGATAGTGCAATTTCCAGAAATTTTGTTTGATATTTGTTCATAGGGTTGTCAATTTTTGTTAGATTTCCAAGCAGGCACACTTCAGGATCGGGAGGAAGAGATATTTTGGTAATTCGCGAAAGGACCTCACAAATGTCAAGCCAGAAACCTGCTACTTTTATACAGGACCATGTGCAGTGTAGGAAAGAGCCCATCTCCGCATTGCATCGAAAGCATGCGTTTGACAAGCTTGGTTTTGATTTGTGCATTTTTTCCGGAGTCAGGTAAAGCTGATGGAGAAAATTATAATGTACAAGTCTATAGCGAGCATTAATAGTTGCCGACACACTGTTTTGACAAAGATCTGACCAAACACTGTTTTCTATGGCAACGTTTAGGTCCGATTCCCACCTCTCCTTAGATCGATACAAAGCTGGTTTAGCACAATCATTAATTAACAGAGAGTACACTCGAGAAATAAATGTACATGATCCACTATAATGCAACAACTTCTCAAGGCCTGTAAGTTTAGGTAAAGACAAACGATTACCCAAATTGCAGATAAGAAATGAACGCAACTGGAGATAACAAAAAAAAGTGTTATTTGGGAGATTATACTTGAGCTTTAGTTGTTCAAAAGACATCAAAGATCCTCCTTCAAAGCAGTCCTCCAAAGTATGAATTCCGTTGTTATGCCAGGATTGCAGAATTTTGTTGTTCAGAGTCAGTGGTATCAGTTCATTTTGTCTCAAAGGCGTTTGAAAGTTGATCTTGAGAATATTTACTTTCCTTGCCTTTCTAGTTTTGCACTGTCTCATGATTTTGTATCCAAAGATAGAAAACATATGTATAAATAACATGTGTAATGAACAAGGCAATGATCCAGATTAGTGAAACACCTCCATCTAGTGGTAGAAGTTGAGAATTACCCATCCATCCATCCATTTTCTACTCTTTAATCCATTTCTGGGTCAGGGGGGTGGCAATCAGAGATGCCACCCAATTACATTTGAGAATTACATAATGCACTATTTAAAAAATAAATAAAAAATAATATTTTTTTGAAAATTAAGGGTGAACTATGATGGATGGCTTTTTATACTTTCATTTTGCTTTTGCCTTTGTAAGTAAGTATATAAGTAGTTCTTATTCACATAGTGGGCTTCTGTACTTGGAGATACAAAAAAATTGCAAAACCAAACCCATAATGAACAAATGTTTTAACAATCTAAACCACTCAAAACTAATTCCAGCCTTTGTGACTTGGTGATTAGGACCTCTTCTCTCACTTTTAATTTGGTTTAGATTCATTATCTTGCAGCTCTAAATAATAAAAGTACCTGTGACTTATTGTTTAACGTACAGGACCATGGCGGATGCTCAGAACACGTCAAGCTAACTGTGATATTAAGAGAAATAAAAACTCACCAGCAGAGCAGCCTGAATGGGTCCATGGATGATGTAGAGCAGTTGTGTGTGGGAGCTGATCCAACATCTGCAAGAGAGCGTTACTATCAGACTAAACACATACATTATTTTTACTACATTACAGACATGGCAACCTACTTGTCGTTGTAGAGCATCCCTCGTGCCACAGCGTAGACAATGGCTGGCACCACTGGAAAACCTGCCACAACATCATCATTGAAAGCAGTGGTCAAGGTATGTTTACGTGTCCTTGGGCCGAAAAAACATTCAAGATCGAGGTGCGGTTTATTTGCCATTTGCAGTAAGCCACAACAGAACTAAACTTTGACCGGCCTTGACAGCTTTGAATGGGAGTGGGCCAAGGTCAGCGACTGAGAGGAAGAAAACATTTCACAAACGAATATGAAAGCTTTCTAAGGCATGTATTGTATATACTGTACTTATAGGATCTGAGAGAGACATTACCATCGTGGGTCAGAGCCGCTGATTCACTGGTCAATTTTAAATCCCTTTTTAAGACCCATTTCTTTTCACTGGCTTTTAACATGCGTTGAGCTGAATCTCTCTTTTTATATCTCTGTTTATTGCCTGTTGTACAGTTTAAATTAATTGTTTTTACTATGTTTTTAGGGGCTGGTGCTATGTATTCTGGGTGCGGCTCTGACTGCAACCCCCCGACCCAAAAATGGATTAAGGGGAAGAAAATGGATGGATGGATTATGTTTTTAGCCAATTTGTAAAGCACTTTGGGCTTTTGGCATTTTAGATGTGCTTTATAAATAAACTTGACATTGATATTGGCATTGACATTATCACTCTCATGTGCTGTTCAAGGGCAAGAGCTTATCAAAGGCAGAAACAAATCGGGAAACAGGAAGTGAGGGGGTAAATCACACCTTAGTATTTACATAGATGTGTCTCACGAAACAAAAGTGCGTTTTTTGAATGCACTAAAAGGCTAAAACAGAAGATACATTTGTTTTTCAGGGAGGAATATTTCTTTTTGTGGGCCTCAGTGTGCTGGTGTAGTGGATAATGAGGTGGCTCTTCAGTTTAAGTGGTGCTCTACAACAGCAGTATCAAAGGTGCATAAGCAGTGCCAGAACATGAAAGCCGGGAGACAAAAGCACAAAAGTGACAAGTTTTGACATCACCAAGCAAAGTGTCACAGTGGGAACACAAAGTTTGAAACAGTTTTGAGGAGGAAACCACTGGGTTCAATCAAAATAGCCGATTACTTTAATTCTTTGGCTACAGATTTGATTGTTGAATGTCCCTGGAACTGTCACATTCATGGACATTGGTCTCTCTCTATGGACCAATACCAAATCATGTATTTTTTGTGTCTTAACTGTTGATTCTCTGATCTGTGTTGGTGATCTCAATGGTTTTGTTAAGTCTCTGAGATGACTTCTGTTGTGATTCAGGGCTATACAAGAATAGATTGTATAATTTGTATTCTGAAATCAACGTCTGCATTGATACTGACCCCATCCCAGAACGTAGTACCAGAAGAGCTGCTGTTCTCCCACGAACACAGCCACGATGATGAGTGTGTGCAGGTAGATGCCCTCACACAACATCCAGAAGTAGTTAGAGGTGGAAGTGTACTGGGTCAGGACAGCCAGGACCTTACAGCTCACCTACAGATAAGATCACACTGCTTTCATAAGGTACTTTTGATATGACGTCAGGGAGATCATTTACTTCAACCCTCGTAAAATATACTGTTGTTGTTGATGCTGTTTTAGTTTACATTGAGTTCTATGGTACGTTTTTAATGGTTAGCCCCCATGAATTTAGTCTGCAGTGCCGCGGGGAGCTCCCAAGCACATGGGTTCTTCAGCTATAGGGATACCTTATCCAAATATTATCATAGATCCATGGGTGAAAGTAGTTAGAGTATAATAATAATGGTAATACTAAAGACCGTTTGTGCGTTTACAGTGTGAACAGCAAAAGTCATGGTTTTTGAGTATTGTCTCACTGGGTTGCTGGCAGTTATAGCTTGGTTATTGGCCACAGTGAGTGACAGCCACATGATGGTCACTATGGAGTTGAGGATAAAGGACATAAACATGTTCTTATGGAGGGAGATCCTTTGGCAGCTCAGACTCCTGCAACAAAACAATAAACAAGCCATTCACTTGTCAATACAACATAGATTTATTTGGTGGATGACGAGTGTTACTGACTTGAAGTAGGAGAAAATAATGAGGCAGATGATGAGGGACACTATGGAGAGACCGTGACCAACCATGGCCAGGTAGTAAAGGCTGATGGCAAACTGTAAGACAAAACAGTTCAAAGTGAAAACCTTTTTATTTTTGCGTAAAAAAGTGCATTCCTCAAAAACCCTGGTGCTTTTGTTTATCCAACTGTTATTGTTTTGCTATAATTTGGATATTTGCAGTTTGTGATCCTTCCTTTCACAAGAAACAAGCAGGAAACTTCCCTCAGCTAAGTTACATTTTCTTTTTTATAATCACAAAAATCTTCCATAATTGAAGAATGAACATTTATGTAACTAAATTGATCAACATTGACAATCAACATTTTATTGCAAGAAGCAGGTATCAAACTACTTCCCAAAAAGTAG